TGTCCGAATCAATCTTAAAATCTTTGATTTCTTGTTGTTTTTCTCCTTTGATTTGCTCTCTTCATTCTCAAGTTGTATTGCTTGTTTCTAAATTTGTGGAACCCTTCTCAAGTGTCTCTCCTTTTGTATTTATACTTCCATTAATGTTTTCCTCGTATTTGGAGTCTTTATGGGTTTTAAAAGAGCAAACAAACCTGCACCTACACAACAGCAGACGATGTCTCAGAGGCATCATGGGTGGCACCCCTTTCGGTTAAAATTTTGGCTCTTTTTGGTGGATTTGCAGTGCCAAGGTGCCCTAATTGTAGTGCCGCACACCACCCCTAGGGAAATATTTAGCACTTCGCACCATTTAGTATTTTATCATAACTTCCCCTGCCCCCCCCCCCCCTCATATTCGATTGAGACGATTCAAATTTGGTGGTAAAGATAACTCAAAGTGCTACAACATTACTTGAAATAACATTTTTCCAATTTGAACGTTTATGAGGTCAAAATGGGCCTTAATCTTCGAATAAAAATATGGAACATACTTGTGCGGTTGAAAATTGATTTGTGAAAATATTTTGATTATATTTCACTCATTTTTTTACTTCTAATTACATCCAATTGACCCCTAACATTCTCGAATCTTCATCCTGCGGTTCGACATAATATTTGAGTATTTACACTTTAGTTCCCAAAATTTGGATCTTTCTCTTTTTCGCCAATTTTCACTTCTTTATTTCAATTTCACTTCCATTCATTGAATTTCACTTAATAACATATTATATAATAAATTTGGCTATAATTTCATTGAAAGAACTACGAAATGTCTATATTTTAAAGCATGAATAAGTGTATAAAATACACCTATCAAACACCCGAGTTACTGCTTAGCAAACCATAAGCTGTAGCTTTTTCCACAATGACCGTCGAACCTTCCAAAACATATAATCGGGACTTTCTCGGCCCCTTTAACACAACCCTGGCACACTTGCTAACTTTCAAAACTCCACCTCCATCAATATACATGTACCCTTTTGAACATGTCTCACTAAATCAAATGTCCTAACCATCCCATCAAATATCTTGATTTTGACCTTATCAAAACTATCTTTTTTTTAAGACTCATTATTTCACATCACCACAGAACCCCTTCTAACTGTTCCGTATAAAGAAAACTATTCCCGATTAAAAACATATAAAAAGTGCAAGCCGTATTAAGAATTCAATCCTCGTCAGGTTTGGAGTCACATCCAGAACTCACCAAAAGATTTTCGTCACTGCAATCTTCTTCTACAAAACTGGCGTCACCGAAATTTCCTAGTTATCTCTTTTGATCTGTAGCTTATTCCTGTTTTACCCCTCCTAGTAATCCTTCTTCATATGTCCTTTGTTGTTGGAATACCAACATATTTTATCACTGTTGCTATCATTATCTCTGCCCCTTCCATTACTACCCATCTTCCTCTTACGAATAACAATATCCGACTATAGAGAATAGTGCATCATATACCTCGTTAATAGTGAAAGTATTCCAACTATAGAGAATTATATCTCTAAAAGTCACATATGAAGGCAGCAACGAACATAACAATATCGATCCTAAAAAATACGAACATAACAATATTTGCTTAGAGACAAATACGTGTGTAGTTGAAGTCCCTAATACTTTGTCTGAGTAATCCACAATAATTTATGCAATAATAGGCAATTTAGCTAATAGAAATAAATTCTATAGTTTAAAACATGAATGAGCTAATTTAATACTCAGTTTGTATCTTTTCCATATCTTCTGATAGCAATGTTTTCAGAAAAAAAGCTTTTACATGAACTTTTAACAGACACAATCAGTAATATTATGTTCATTATGGTACAGTGGCTCAGACAGGAGTTTGTTATGGAAGGCTCGGGAACGGATTGCCACCTCCATCAGAAGTCATCGCGCTATATAATCAGAAGAACATCAAAAGAATGCGAATCTACGTAGTATTCCAACTATAGAGAATTGTATCTCTAAAAGTCACATATGAAGGCAGCAACGAACATAACAATATCGATCCTAAAACCGTCTTCATCATGCTTCACCTCCATGGTCTCCAAATTAGTGACGATTTTCTTGAACAACGAAGATTATCTTCCAAAGATCCACCTCCTGTCAAGCAATGAGAATACAAGCAGTGCTTCTAGTGTAACTTACTGGTCAAGCTCTTTGTCATACAAAGTTGGTCCAATTTCAATCAGAATCCAGCAACACTTTTCTTCTTTAATGCCTCCTAAATAATTTGATTATAAAGATGAAGATGTATTTGTGATAGGATTTTACGATCCTTGCATTGCTCCTCCACCTTAATCATTTTTACGGGCACTCTATCCACCCCAACAAAGCATTACCCAAGTCCAATTGAGTAAAAACTACTCCCATCTTAATTTGCCACAAAGAAAATCTACTGTTGCGATCCAAAAGCAGAATCTCAAATTTCATAGTTGTCATCCCCAAAACAATTGACATTGTTTAAACCTTGCTTTAATAACCAATTTGGACCTCCCAAGAACTGCAAAAACACATTGGCTCTGATAATAATATGTTAAGAATCAGGCTAAATAATAAAGACGAGAAAATAAGAGCAATATAAAAAATAATGGATTACACAACAACACATGATTTATGTGGAAGATGAGGAGAATTTCAATATACCGAGAAACTAAAATTGTTTTACAAGATTTGATACTCTCAATCTAAACAATCATCTTCTAGTATCTAATGTATACAACATGATCTTATTGTTGATTGAGCCGATGAGGAGCCTACACAACGTGGAGTATATATAGGAACCCGAACTTGGAGTTATGAAGAGAGACGTGTTTATATATTTCAAGATCTTATAATTAGGTATCACCTAGTCCTTACCGAACTGCCCAATCCAATTATTAATCTCTTCTTGCTCTACTAATTGCGCAAAATTGCACTCTAAAAGTATGAAAAATCACATAAACTAATATTGTATAATTACTTCCTTATATCTACTGAACTAATGTCTTACCTTTGTCCGGTGTCTAATAATTAGAATTTGAATTAAAAGACTGTTTTGTCCTTCTAATTACTATTTTTTTCCTTAAGTTTTATTTTCAAACGATTTTGTGAACTAATAACATACATGTTATCCAACATTAAACACTAAGCTTATATTTATTATCAAACATAAAATGCTTAAAGGACTTCTTAAATTCTTTTTCACGATGACAATTTCCTGAAATCAATAAAGACCTACTACTTGCTTACTATTAGGTTCACAGCATACTGGGGTATTTGAACACATAAATTGGTTTCACGTATTGGTATATTAAACAACATCCGAGTTCGCGAATAATGTCAAGCATCTTGGATTTATGTGATTAACACTCCGGTCACATGTAATTTAATTCTTCTCCAAATCATGATATGTAATTATATTCTAATTTCTAACACATGGACAAGTCCAATGCACATGAAGGGCACTATTGTCACTACACAAAAAACAGTGTTCTACAGTTAAGATAAAACACTATTATGTGATTAAGGACAAATTGCTTATCAAAGTGGTAGAATAGCGAACACTACATTCCAGAACGAAGTGTCAACCCTCGTTCATCAATCATGAACTCTATTATTTCTCGATCAAAATAGTCGTGTCACACTATATATGAATTTTTTCGATGGCACTTGTCCATTTAAATAATATAGTATAACAATCACAAAATAAATAAACAAAAAAATATAATTTACTACTAGACATTAAAAAAATTCAAATATTACAACAATACGTATACTTTTAGAGAACACAATCCAATACACAAGTTACGTATTCGATTAAAAATTTAATTGGGCTTATGCTTGAAGATGCGTCGAATAGTAAGTATTACTTTTCGAATTAAGTTAAATAAATATAATACTTGACATAGGGGTTGACCGACCACTCACATTGCATGTGGATCCCGACCTGAATTAAATAACGTTGACCACCCCATGTGTGCATGCTGTGTCATCCCCTATGTCAAACATTATGTTTGTGTAGCAAAACTCTTACTTCTCTCTCAACAACTTAAACGGCTATGAACACAAATAAATGTCTTGCTCTTTAGTCTTAATTGCGTTATGCCCAAGTGTTCAGTATTTATCATTATTGACAATTAATATTCCTCCGCGTTTACTTTGATTTTGACAGTGTCATCATTATAAGGCCTCACGGGATGGCTTTTCGCCACCAAATTTGGTGGTGTAAAATTTAGTATAAAACCATCTTTAATGGTCCAAAGTTTATTTTGAATTATTTTATACCAAATTTTATTTTACAAATTATATTATTACAAAAATTGTTATATTAAAATTATATTTAATGAAGTAAAATATTGCATTTATTAATAAATTTGTAACTTTTGACTTTGTAATGAACAATTTTAGTATTGGTGTAATAATTATTACTTATTAATTGATTAGGATTTAAAAATAAATGTTAAATATAAATAGCCATCATATTAAAATTTATTAATACTAAAATATTAAATAAGGATATAGATGAAAAAAATAATTTTTATAAAGCGTGAACAAGGGCAAAATAGGGTTAAATCAAAATTCTTATATTTGATGTAACACTATTCATTACACTATCTTTTACACACAGCGTGCCATTGGAGATGCCCTTAGCAACCTCAATGTGTTTAGAGAAGTACAAGATGACAATTATGAATATAACAAACTAAACCGGTTTAGATATTTCATTTGGCTCACTGTTAGACTTATAGAAAGATCCGAATTGGCATTATGCATGGATGGAAATTGGCCAGGGCGCGCGGCTAGTGAAGTTAGGCAATCATTCAAGAAGTCATTCTCATAATAGAATGAAAGATTTATGACTTTTCAACCAATTTTATATTTTTTAAAGCCTCTATAAAAGGGGACTCTGGAGCACAATATACTTTTATAGTTGCTTGTAAAACAAATATATAATTTTATCGCTTATTTCTTATTTTTACACTTCATGGCTGGTATCAGAAATCATTTCACTATTGAAATGGCTCTAGTTGGGATTCTCATATTGGTTATCCTTGATTTCACAGGTCCCTTTCTCTTTCTGCATAGTACTAGACAGAATTACATAGCATAGCAAATGAGATTTTAGCTTCTTTTTTTCCGTTAATATTGTTTTGTATTATTTTGTCTACCTTATCAAACATGACATTAGGTTTAACGACAAAATATACCATTGGCCTAGAGACAAATACGTGTGTAGTTGAAGTCCCTGATACTTTGTCTGAGTAATCCACAAAAATTTATGTAATAATAGGCAATTTAGCTAATAGAAATAAATTTTATAATTTCAAACATGAATGAGCTAATTTAATACTCAGTTTGTATCTTTTCCATATCTTCTGATAGCAATGTTTTCAGAAAAAAAACTTTTACATGAACTTTTAACAGACACAATCAGTAATATTATGTTCATTATGGTACAGTGGCTCAGACAGGAGTTTGTTATGGAAGGCTCGGAAACGGATTGCCACCTCCTTCAGAAGTCATCGCGCTATATAATCAGAATAACATCAAAAGAATGCGAATCTACGACCCATACCAGCCTACTCTTGAGGCTCTTAGAGGCACCAACATTGAGCTCATGCTCGGCGTTCCAAACACTGACCTTCAAAATCTTGCTGCTAGCCAAGATAATGCAAATACTTGGATACAAAACAATGTAAGAAATTATCCTAATGTCAGATTTAGATACATTGCAGTTGGAAATGAAGTGAGACCATCAAAACCGGACACATCTCAGTATGTACCATTTGTCCTTGCTTCCATGAGAAATGTTCAAAATGCAATTTCCGCGGCTGGACTGGGGAACCAGATCAAGGTTTCCACTTCTATTGATTTCGGAGTACTCAGAACTTCTTATCCTCCATCAGAAGGTGTAATTAATTCTGAAGATCAATCTTATCTTGGTGAGATCATTCAGTTCTTGGTGAGCAACAGAGCGCCTTTACTTGTCAACATATATCCGTATATTTCACGCATCCGTAGTCCACAAGATATTAGCCTCGAATATGCTCTTTTTACGTCATCTGGAATTGTAACTCCTGATGGAACACGGTATCAGAATCTTTTCTACGCCATGGTGGATGCCATGTATGCAGCACTTGAAAAGGCTGGTGGCTCGTCTCTGGAAATTGTTGTATTGGAAAGTGGTTGGCCCTCGGAGGGAGGACAAGACACATCTATTGATAATGCAAGGACCTATAATATTAATTTAGTGCAACGCGTAAGGGAAGGGACCCCCAAAACGCCTGGAAGAGCTATAGAAACTTACATTTTTGCTATGTTTGACGAAGATCAGAAGTGCCCTGAATATGAGAAATTTTTCGGGCTCTTCCTTCCAAACAAGCAACCTAAGTACCCAATCAGCTTTAACTAGTTATAGATAACAAGTGTATCACTGAGGAAATGAACGCGAACTGGTACTTGTAAGTTCTAAATAAGGGTTCCTCTAGTTTGTTTGATAAGCAATAAAGCGAAATATAAACATCCAATTTCCGTGACAATAGAAAAGGAATTGAATAAGCAGTGGACTACTTTTCCATTTTCTTTTCATCTTTTTATCTTTATTGTTATAAATTATGGATCATGGGTCGCCCATGTGAGATGACCCGACCCACAAGACATCAAAAGGGTTGGAGGGAGTGATTTGAATTTGGAATTCAAATCCACAACTCCCCATAACCTCTCATAAAACCTTCAATTTTTATTTTTTTTTATTATTATTTTTTTTTTGGGTCTAGCAATGGAAAAAAAAAGATGCTAGAAAAATGGTGAAAATTCGTATGGAAAATATATCCAAAATTGGAAAAAAACAAGAACCACTATTTTGGCATGAAAACTCACAAAAATTGGCAGTTAGGTTATGACTAATAATCTCCTTCCATTGTGATCAGGATTAGGATGATTGGAGTTCAAGAAAATTACAAATTTGGAATTTTGGAAAGCAAGATGATTCAGACATTCAAAAGATCTTGAAATTCATGTTAAAGTATGCTGCAAATTACTTCATTGTTATCAAAGCCATAAGATTGAATTCCTTACTGTAATATATGCTGAAATATGTCATTACATGATACAATTGGGATATGAATTTTATATGTTAAGTTTTGAAACCTTATGTAGTCTTTAATGACATTTTTTGATAATTTACTTCTTTCTATACAATAATAATTATGTATTAAAATTAGTATTGTTAGGAAAGTATTTTAATGAGCTTTCCAACAATATAAATAACTTAAATTTTGCAAGTTAAAACGAAGAAGTTGTGAAGTTTGGAAGTAAATCTGAATTTTTACATGAAATTCGAAACTTCATTACATGATTACTTCTTCTACGCTGCATTTCATACTTCCCATTTGGTATGGTTGGATAGATCTTCTCGAGGCATTTCTAACGATATAAAGATCATTAATTTTTGCTTTGAAATGAAGAAGTTATGGTCTCCCGAAATTTGGATGTAAATCTGACTTTTTGCAAGAAGATTGATAAAATCCGAAACTACATCACATGATAACTTCTTCTACATTGGCCTTGTTTGTTTCGAATTGAAATCAGATTTTAATTTAAGTCAAAGTCAAACAATTAATATTAACCACATCTTTCATAGGCCCCACAACTTTTCAACCACAAATTTTAAAAACTTTTATCACAAACTACTAAAAATCTAATTTTAATCCCCACTAAACACCCACTATATTTCATGCCTCTCATTTGTATGGTTGAATAGATCTTCTCAAAATGACGCCGGGCAGAATAACGATTATTTTGCAGACTGATTTCAGCAGATAATTTACAGGGAATAACACAAGAGAAAACGCCAAAAAAATAAGAGAATTCTTTATTAGTTTATTCACCCTTCGAAAACAACCCACAAACCAAGCTATATAGCTAGAAAATTATAATTATCGTAATTTTACCAAAAAAAACAAAATTTCAATAGTCATACCAAAAGAAAGTATGTAATAAAAGAAATAATATCCCAAAAATCTGGCTCAAATCGAGTTCATAATCCCTTTTAAAATGGCAAACGAAATATTACCAAAAAAATAACTAAAATTAGGGATTCAAAAGGAAAAATAGCAGATTTTGTCCTCCAAATCGATGCGCAAAGCTCGGTAATCACAACATGCGTGCCTAAAGGAGCTTTCCGAATTTGGGTCATAAGCGCTATTCTGATAACCGTACCCAAAGTTATGGCAAAAATACTAAAATGAGTCCAAAAAAATGCCTCAATTCGGAAAAGTCGTCGATTACTTATCATTTTTATGCTGATCTGCCAACTCATGGTACCTCAGCGCCATCAACTAGCTATCGGACAATTCGGTATCATCCGACTCATATCCTCCTGCATCACAAAACCTTTCCAATGATATAAGATCATTAAATTTGGCCTTAAAATGAAGAAGTTATGATTTCGAAGTTTAGTTGAAAATTTTAAATTTTTTTTTTTTTTTTTTGCCATGTTGACGCTCGGGCATATCTGTTAATGTCTCAAATGTGGCCTAAAACGTTGATTTTGTAAAATTTGACTAAAAAAATGAACTCAGAATGTTAAAACTAGTTGGGATGACCAATTGAAAAGTTTTTTTGAGAACGGCATGGTGGTGCTAACGCGCCCCATTTTTTTTTTTACTAATTTAAGAAAATTATTACAAATTGGTCCTGCAAGTGAGGGCACGTGAGAAACTCGATTTTAATTCTAAAAATTGTAGATTGGTCCCTGAATTATTCTTGATTTTCAATCTAAGTAAATGAATTTTTGGATAGTTAAAAATATATATAATTTTTTTATCTTGAGTAAATTTTGATTTATTTTTCTTAAATCAAGAATATTCATTAGATGGTATTTGGCTAGTGGGAGCTATTTTTTGAAGTGCTTTCGTTTTAATATACGTTCATGAGCCTTCCATTTTTTATTAGATTATGTAATCCATTATAATTCGTATCCAATTTTTTGTGCTTGATAAGATATTACTGAATCTATGCACACTTGTAACATCTTTAGAGGGAAGGCTAGAAAAACAAAGGTTATAGAACTTATTGAAAAGTTATGTGCCTATTGAAATTAATAAATGGATCTGGAACATGATCTAATGGGACACATAAATATTTTTGGGAATTTTATTTATTTATTTATTATTATTATTATTTTTTTTGTGATAAGCAGAATATGAAAATTCTGATGTCACTTTCCATATGTTGTGTTGTAACAGATATTAAAGTAATGTTGAGAGTCTGTATAATAAAACTTAAATGATGTGAGTTTTATTCTACGATTATAATTAAAATTATTTTTTGGAAGAATTAATTTGTGATATCATAGTATATGTCATAATTGGATAAATGTGCGTATTTATACTTTTATTGCACATTATGGAATTATCTTATTGAATTACATGATATCTATTAATTCATAAATTGTTATGAATGCTAAGGTCATTAGAATATTGAGATTCTTACTTTGATTTATTGATTGTCAATTGAGTGATAGTTCGATGATTGGAAGATTTAGAGAAAATCTTACCTAAAATTATTTGATTTACCAACTGAGTGGGAATTCTCAAACTTGAAGAATCAATATAATTCTAACTTATAACTTATGAAATTTTGCATTATGAAATTAAGTTTATGATAGTGAAATAATAGGGTTGCAGACGATGATTGGGAACATAGTGAACTTTCGACTCTGTGCCCAACGTTGAACTTTCGTTTACGTTAATTTGAATTAATGCAAAATAGTATATGTGCATAAAAGACCATTGATTGAGAATAAAATGTCTCTAAAATCTGATAGATTATGGCATCAAAATCTATAGTTGTTGACTTTAATAAAGGTAACAAGCTAAAAGCAATCACATTTGGCATAATAAGTTTTTCAGCTAGAAGAATATGATGTTTTAGATAGCATCAACCACGTAATTGAAGACCCGATGTGGTTCAGACTACTCTAGAGAATAAAGATCAAGAGCTTTGTCAAGTACAGAAAAAGTATATTCTAGTACTTGAGCATTTGAATTGTTAAGTTTTGTTATAGATATCCTTTTCTCAAATGCGACGGAGCTGAGATGGTTAGCATAGTGTTAACAATTTTTTTGTTGGTCACAAATTTTTGTTTTATTTATTTATTTATTTATTAGGAGTAGTAAGTTCAAACTAGTCTCATTTCAATGGATGAAAACTTTGAAAGTCAATGTGACTTACGAATTGAAGTGTCAATTTGTTCTATTGACACTATCCACTATATAAGTTAAAAGGCTTGCGACTTGATATTGCTAAATCTAGAGGACATGCTTGTGTAGCAATGTTCTAGTTCGTATAAGATTTCAGATCTTAAGTTTTAACTAAACTAAAACAAATGAGGATAATAAGGAGACTGAAAAATGGATCAAGAAGAACATATCAGATAGAAATAGAAATACGTGAAAGTGATTTTGGTAGAGGACCACTATTATGAAGGTTCAAGTGTTTCAACTACACGATTTGCGATCGAATCTAATAGTGATGTGGCGATAAAGTCAAGACCGGAGGGTTTGATTTCACTTCTCCAACAAGTCAAAAGAAGAAGATACAAGGGAAGATGTTCTTAAATTTCTTTTTATTGTATTTGTTAATTTTGTAAAATTACAAAATTGAGACTATTGTATTTTTTATCGTTTAATTTAGTGGATTATTTGACTCATGGCATGGGAGCAGTGGATGTTCTCTTTCGGGTTTACTACGCTGTATCTAATGTTCAAGTTTGAATCTACTCTTTAATTTTCATATATTGTTAACACGGTTAGAACACCTATTCAATATGCACAATGATGTCAAAACTTGTAAAAACTGAGTATAGTGCAGTCCACTGTTTAAATAATATAATTAAAAATGAATTTTTAATTTATCTAGGTTTTAGAATTTACATTTTGAGTTGTGAATACCTTTTAACTCCTTTAGTTCCATAGAGTTTTGGACCAACAAGATCAAGCAAAGGCAAGTGATTCAACATATTTAATCTTGGGAAATTTCACTTCAAGATTCTACAACCTTGACAAGTAGAAAAGGATTTACATTGGTATAAGAGCCTTTTTATGTTGTTCTCTTGCGTATTATCTTGCTATGAATGGAGTTAAAATGAAGATTAAATCAGCACACGAAGCACTATCATGACTAAATGGGAAAAGTTGAAAATTGCAATGGAAGAAGAAATTGAGTCTATGAAATCCAACCAATATGAGACTTAGTTGATCTTTCGACTGTTGGGAAAGCTATTGGAAATGAATGGATTCTCAGGATAAAACGAAGAAGTAATGGGACTATAGAGATGTATAAGGCTCGCTTGGTTACAAATGTTTATAGTCAACAGGAAGGTATAGATTAAGAAAAGACATTTTCACT